TACCTCCCCGTTCCAAGCGTGGAGCAGTCCGCACTCGGTTTCACAGTGAGGCGGCGACACAAACCTCATTCCCCGATACCCTTTTGCCGTCCGCAAACGCCGCCGCCACCGCCGCCGTTTATTCTGTCTTTCTGCAAGCCGATTCCGAGAGTCGTTCTCGTCGTTCTGTCTCTCTCGCACCTGCACGGGACGCCCGGTGAGTGCGAGGGAGACAGGGCGACGAGAACGACTCTCGGAATCGGTCTGCTGGCCGACGGGGCGACGCGCCGCGCGGCGATCTGCCAACGCAAAGTTCAAAACAGCCGCGCGGCCGCCGCTCCGCTCGCGGGTTCAAGAATAAAACTAGCAGAAACTAGAATCGCAAAGAAGAGGAGACGCACGCCGCGGCCAGGCACGGCACAGAACGCGAAAAATAAATAATTTGTTATGCTAATCAACATTGTTTGATACGCTAATTTCAAACTTCAATCAAAAACGTACAAGATACTGACTCCAAACAGACTCACCAAAATCTCACTAAATGTTAAGTCAGCACACAGTTAATGTTTATGCACTTACGTTGTCCGTCACAATTCGTACATGTGTGTGCTAGGCACAGTTTAATGCACAAGTGGACAATATTTCCGTATCATGCTTAAGTAATCATAAAATTGCATGTAATAGACCCTTTCAGTCTTCGCCGAGTGAAGAACAAAAGTAATCAAAAATCCAGGAACCAGTAGGAACGTTCCTAGTGGTTCCTGGATTTTTGATTACTTTTGTTCTTCATTCGGCGAAGACTGAAACGAGGGGGTAACCACTCGCGTAATACCATGTACACAAAAACCGTGTATTACGCGTAATACACGTGGTCGTAATACCATTTCTGGGTCAAATGTGCCAAATTTTGGCATTTTAAGGCCGTAATACACGTGTAATATCCCCGTAATACAGCGTAATACCGAGTAGTCTGTACACGATTTCTTGAAGCGTTTACCCCCTCGGACTGAAAGGGTCTATTGATGAGCTAATTTGTGCATTACTCCTTCACAAACACGTCAATACTCGTGTACAAAAAAATCCACAAGCATTTGGTGTGTGGGCGCGTATCGTGGCGTCAAGGCGCGGTGATAGTATTCTGCTGCATCGGGGCAGAGCGTTCCGCGGCATCAGCGATTGCACGCCGTGCCGCGCCACGCCACGCCGCGCCACGCCACCACAAGTGCCGCGCCCGCCCAGCCAGCCGCCGCCGTCCAGGCCCACTATCAATTGTCAGAGCCGCCAATAATACGTTTCGGGCCTGGCGCTTCTGGACACGACGAGTAGTACACTCGAAAAAAAAAACAACAAGACTGGGAAAAAAACACAAGAAAAAGAAGAAAACTGCCCCGACGGCTCCGAAAATAATACGCGCAACTCAGGCCGCCGCTTACAACTAGAGTAACTGGCGGCCGCGCTGAGAACCCGCGCATCGCTTCCCGGCGGCGTCCGCGCTAGGTTATGTTTGACACGTTATATCTCCTAAATCGTTAGAGTTAGATGGGTAGTGTAAGCGAGCCGATTTTAGTTCTAACTTAGATCTACAATCGGCTCGCTTACACTACCCATCTAACTCTAACAGTTTAGGATATATAACGTGCCAAACATAACCTAGCGCGGACGCCGCCGGGAAGCGATGCGCGGGTTCTCAGCGCGGCCGCCAGTTACTCTAGCTGTAAGCGGCGGCCTGAGTTGCGCGTATTATTTTCGGAGCCGTCGCGACGGCGGCGGAGCGTCCATGACAGTGTGTCGGGCACACCTCGGCCAATTTGTCTTGCCATTATGGTCTCCGCGATGCTGTGCGACTCCACTGTACTACTACACTGTCAGCCACAACAACGGCAAGGGCCCCGCAAGGGGGGGGGGAGAGAGAGAGAGAGAGAGAGAGAGAGAGAGAGAGAGAGAGAGAGAGAGAGAGAGACAGTGAGAGAGAGAGAGAGAGAGAGAGAGAGAGAGTGAGAGAGACAGAGACAGAGAGAAAAGAAGAAAAGGACAAGAAAAAACACACCCAAACAAATGCGTCCAGTTAATTTTCATTCAATTAGTAGGGCGTCTGGCAGAGGAAAAGTACCCCGCCGCCGCTGCCATCACCTGGCAACGCCATGTCACACCGCGGTGGCACACCGTGGTGGCGCGGCTGGGCGCTGGGTCGTTACGCCACTGCCCGTGGCCTTGCCCCGCCCGCCCCGCCCCACACCGCCCCGCCCCGCCCCACACCGCCCCGCCCCGCGCCAAACGGCCCTATCGAATTAGAAGGCAAGAGTGGCCGCGCGGACAGACGGACCAAGGGACGTTCTCGGGCGAGCGGACGGACAGACAGACAGACAGACAGACAGACAGACAGACAGACGCGCTGCGGAGCCCACTGAGCGAGTCCCGAGGGGGCAAAAACTCGCGCAATCATGTGTACACGGCCCCCGAAATCACACGCGAATCATTGAGAATCACGCGAAATCAAGCAATCCGAAATCAGCCAAAATCACTAAAATCGACCGAAATTAGGCAGAATCACACGAAACCAGGCCAAATCAGTCCGAAATCATTTCTTTCCGAACACAATCACACGCAATCACGCTCAACATCACCCTGGTGCGTCGCGAAATAAGGCAAAATCAGCCATGAAATCAATTAAAACCATGCGCAATCATTGCGTTTTCCGAATCATGTGTACACGAAAATCCCGAGTTTTTGCCCCCTCGGCGAGTCCCGTGCTGCACCAACCCTACGCGTCCGTTGCGGCCGGTTGCGGCGGTCAGGGTTGGGCAGGCCGGACTACACTGTATACGCGGCTCTGGCACTACACATTAAAAGCTGATGGACTTTTGGCACAGAAGTATTGACTTATCTGTGGGAGTGTAAGTTGCGTACACGAGCCTGAATTTGGTAAATTTTATAAATACTTAAGCGTACATGGAAATATCGTCCCTGTCCCTAATTTAGGTATTTAGCTGGACACAGCTAAATGCAAAAATACAGCAACAGTTATGAGCTTTGACAGAAAATAAACTTTTGATGATGATCTAAAATCAACTGGATTCAAAAACTCAGTGGGGGAGCGCCTTACGACTCCAGGATACTGTCCCGTCGAGCTCCGCTGCGTGGCGGGACTGCCTACCCCGCCTTCGTAAGGGGCCCAGGACATGGACCGTCCCGGAACGCAGCCCCGCGCCCGCACTGAGGGCCAGAAGGCCAGTGGAGGCCGCCAAAGCTCTAGACGCGTTTTCAACTCCAGAGTTGCTAAACAGAACTCGAACCGAGCGTGTGATCCCACCAATCACCAATCGATTGCTCGGCGTACGAGGAATCCATTGGTGGGGTCAAACGCTCTGCTCGAGTTCTGTTTTGCGACTCTGAACTCTGGAGTTCAAAACGCGTCTAGAGTTCTGGCCGCCTCCACCAGCCTTCTGACCCACCGTGGGGTCCGGACGAGGGGGTAACGACTTCGGGAATCCGGCTGACAGCAAATTGGTAATCCGTAATCCGGATAACCCGAAATTTCGAGGTAATCCGGGGTAAACCGGGAAAATTTTGAGAGGTAATCCGGGGTAATCCTGTGAAATGCAAAGGTAAACCAGGAAAATTTCTTTTGTAATCCGGAGGTAATCCGGGTAATCCGGCTGACAAGAAATTTGCCAGTCGTTACCCCCGGGTCCGGACGAGGCAGTGTCGCGGAATCCGACCGGCTTGGCGACAAACGATTAAACCCTCGCCAACAGTCGAGCGATTAAGAAGAGTCGAGCGTACCATCGCTCTGTCCCTGTCGCACTCACGGAGTTCTTCGTACGGGTGCGAGAGAGACAGAGCGGCGGACCGACCTTCCGAATCGCTTGGCGGGTCGGCCGCGACACCGCGCGCCCCGCGGCACCCGTCAACGCGGAGTGGCCGTCGGGGGGTGCTTGACGTGCCTCGTCACCCACCTGGCCCTTGGCTCGGCCGCCCCTGGCACGGGACACCCCCCGTCGCCAGGCAGCAGACTTATCATCGCTCCGTCTCACTCGGACTCGCCGCGTCGGTGCGAGTGCGAGAGAGACAGCGACGAAAGCGACTCTCGGGATCGGTCTGCCTGCAGCAGGTGTCGATCCGCCAAGAGCCGCGCGAAAACGAGAAGAGCGGCGAGAGGAAAAAAACGCGACTGATTCCGAGAGTCGTTTCCGTCGCTCTGTCTCTCTCGCACTCACGGGGCGTCCCCTTTGGGTGCGAGAGAGGCAGAGCGACGAAAGCGACTCTCGGAATCAGTCTGCTGAGAGGGCGGCCGGCGTATCGAAGCGAAGCAATAAGATAAGGCCGATATTATATACACGCAGCGTGTACGCAACAATGGTAAAAATTATTTAAACGCCGCGTGGCAATAATATATACATTAGAACAACACACGCAGCGTGTCTGAAATCACAAAAATATTATGTGCACGCCGGAAGGGCCTTTCCACGCCGGATAGGCTTTTCCGGCGTGCACATAATAAAAGCAGCTGTTTCCTTCACGCAGCGTGTCTGCAAGCGCTCTTAAATTATTTGCACGCTGGAAAATCTTTTCCAACGCTGGAAAAGCTTTTCCGGCGTGTCTATAATAAAGGCGGGTGTTATTTTTACGCAGCGTGTTTGCAACTCCCTATTTTATTATTTGCACTCTCGTTTTTATGCCAGCTAGGAGATAGAGATGCCTAGGGGGAAGCCGACCGGGTGTGTCGCCTCGTGGTCTAGTGGACACGTGCTTGCATGCCACTTTTTTGGCCCGGGTTCAAAACTTGGAGAATTTTTTTCAAAAGATGCGTGTACATAATTTTTCAGTATTCAAGGGACACGCTGCGTATGAATAATAGATCGTTGGTTGTGAAGACGCTGCGTGTCGCTTACATTAAGATTTCTTATGCACACGCGCTGGAAAGATTTCGCAGTGTGTCTATAAGCAATTGGTGCTTTACTTGCACGCTGCGTGTCTCTTTCTGCAGTAAATCTTATTGGCACGCTTTAGCCTTCGATGCTCCGTGAGTCCTGAACAATGCACTCCTTGGCATGACTCCCTACCTTTATGAACTGGACAAAGCTGGACTGGGAGGCAGCAGGGAAGCGAAGCGCCTGCGAAAGGCAGGATAGGCAACCTTCCCGTCCGGCGCGCAGAGGGTGGCCTACCCTGCAAGGCGGCTCCGGACGGTCCCTGCCGAACGCGCTCCGCTGCAAGCACCCGAGGTGCCCGGCCTTCGAAGCGGTAAGCGGTGCTTCGTCACATTGTCCGGACCTGATCAGTATGCATGGCGATGATAACTGAGCCAATTGTCAACGCAAACTAGCGTTATTTCATGTGCGCGTCTCGTGCATCTTTACTGAAAGGCGATTCAAATCACTGTTTTGTGTTCATGCCATTTATTTGGCCATCAGTTTAGTCGAGGAATTTGTGAACCATATCCACTTATTAACCTATGCGGTATGATATTGTTTTTCTGTTTGCTGAAAACTGCAATGATTCCATTTATCGTCTCGTCTCACAGTAGGTGTGCAACACTATGTCTCATGCCTTCAAGAAAAAACTGGTTGCATCTTGAGTTTGATTTTAAGTAGTAAATTTCCCAATGTGTGCTTGTTAGATTGCGATAGTGCGGGCTCTAAAATAAAATTCCAAAGACCATTTTTATCAAGGCTCAAAATTATCCAGGTTTAATAGTGCGTTATAAAAGTTGTAGTCAAAGATCAAATATCAAAGATATGCAAAGATATCAAAGGTCAAAATCAAATATCAAAGGTCATATCAAATATCAAAGATATCAAAGGTCAATATCAAAAATCAAATATCAAAGGTCACATCAAATATTAAAGATCAAATATCAAAGATATGCAAAGATATCAAAGGTCAAAATCAAATATCAAAGGTCATATCAAATATTAAATATCAAAGATATCAAAGGTCAATATGAAAAATCAAATATCAAAGATCACATCAAATATTAAAGATCAAATATCAAAGATATCAAGGGTCAATATCAAATATCAAAGGTCATATCAAATATCAAAGATATCAAAGGTAATCAAAGATAACTGCAGGAAGGACAAGAGGTGTTTTACAGGACCCTGCCTGATCTCGTTGTCAAGCCAGAGGGACCTGCAAAAGAGATTATGAGAGGATCGAGCTCCATACAGTAATAAACAAACAACCAAAAAATGTTAACTTGACACCCAGTGTTACCTGGCTTAGCTGGCTTAGCTGGCGCTTTCCTGATCACTTGGTTTTTATCTGGCAACAGAAAATCATTTCATCATTCATCATTTCACAGCAGACGATAAAAAATTGAAAGCGTAATGTAAATAAGTGAATTACCATGGCACCCTATGCAAATCCTTTTTTGCCCATACCCTTCTTGTGCCCCTGGAGCAGGCACAGAGCACAATCCAATCGCGTGGACTTTCCGACCGCAGAACGCACAGCAATGACTGGGCTCCCCTTTATTGCACGTGTTGCAACTCTTCGCTTTGCCCACTGAAAAATTGTAATAGAGATATGAAAAAGATTGATGGGAAGTTGGAAAGGTAACGTGCAACTTATTATTAGCCAACAGTTATACATAACATTCCCTTAAGAGAAATATAAAAGTCGATAACTTGACATTCAGTTTTACCTTGCTCAGCCGGCTGATTGGTTGTTTCTGGCTCCTTATTGTTCAGTTGGGTTTTATCTGGCAACAGAAAATCATTTCATTTGTTAAGGCAGCAGACGATGAAAAATTGAAAGCGTTAAGAAAAATTTTACATCAACTTGAGAGGGAGAATGGTTAATTAACTTCAAGACAGTACACCATTATGAAATCAAAACAAAAAATATCATCATTAACTCACCGCTGCTCAAGTTGGCAAAAGGAAAGGAAGGTAACGGATGAAACTATCTCAATGGTTACATACATGAATGCTCCATGGCACAAAATCTCTTGATGTGGTACATGATCTCAAAAATGAAAATGAGCAGAAACTAGATATTAGTTACTTAAAAATTCATGAGGGCATTCACGTATGAAACATTTGAGATAGTTTATTAAACTCTGAAACAGATTAATCTTTTGGAATTAGTGTTCAGGTGCCAATGCTTTACATGCATGATCCCAAACAAATGCACGAGAGAAAAAATAAAAATATAGAGGAAAAAAAAGCAGCTACAAGCGTACTATGTTGGGAGACCCTACTGATTATGGTCACTCCCAGACTACTTGCACTGAACACAACAGTTAAATCGGAATATATTGTAACATTATTCAGTCACTTAGTCATGGATTCTCCTAGTCACTCATAAAAAATTGATTTGCAGACATACCTGCATAAAAAGGAGAGTTGAAAGCAAAAATAGTATTTATAACTTGTTTCATCACAATGTTTTTGTTTTACCTAATTAGGTTTAAGCTTGTACAATGCACTAATGCATTACTATCATAAACAGCAACACCTACAGAAGTGACACTGTAATTATCATTCATCTTACCTTGGTTTCCCTATCAAGAACAAGTAATTGACAGACTTTAAAATAAATCTAAAACAAGATATGAAGAAGTTTGGAAGTCTTAACAAGTTTCAGAGGCATACAGAAATTCGGACTAATTTCTGATAATAATCTTATTTTGTTTCCAACAGCACTCATAAGCATACACCATAAATAAAGCTAATAAAAAAAAATCCAACTACTTCCAAACTAACTAGAAGAAAGTGAACCCTTTCGGCAGTCCAATGGACAGCAAACCCTGGCAAACAGAAAAACATTGAGAGCAAACCTTCCATAAGGCTCTTAATTTTGATGATGTGCTTGCATTCAAACACTTTTCGCTTCTGTTTGTCCGGGCAGCCACAGCTTGTTGCAGTAACCTTGTACACCTTATTGGGAGTTGTTTGAGAACATACATTGTATGAACCATCCACAGTGTTAAATGTAATATCACCATCAGAAATCTTCTGGGCTTTTTTAGCTCTAAAAAAATCTGCTGCTGCGAAAGGCTTTGTAGCTGCTGTAATGATGAAGTATGCGTTAGTGCAAAAACCAAAGCTATTGGAAATTTCAAAATCTTGACTGTTTTCCCAGTATACTTGCCTTTTTTGGGAGATGCTGCTAATCTCCAAAAGTCACACTTATTCACCTGTTTTTGGCACACATAATAGTGGCGCCCTGGTTGCCTTGCTTTAGGTCCAGAAATACGTCTGGTTGAAAAACAAAAGACGGTCTGTTTTATAAAAGAGCAATGAAGAAATAAGGTAAATTTTGACACACTTTTCAAAATATTACCTCACACTCCTTAGCTGCGGACGGCAACGACACATGGGGTTGTCTTTGTTGTCTTCAGTAGGTACACCCAAAAAGATATCGTCATTTTCATCATCTAAAAGGTGACCTGGAATATAAAAATAAAGATCAACAAGGTAAATTTGATTTAGGCTAACAAGTGGCTGTTTGGAAAGGAACAGTGAAATTACTTAAGTTGAGAGGTGACATGGATCGCTGTGCTTCCATGCCTGGGTCTTTCTCAGGAGTATCTGCACTTGAAGGCATGTCATGTAACGGAACTGTGTCTACATTAAGAGTCTCCTGTGTTGCTGGAGAAACCTTTTCATTTTGCTGCTTCGTGCTTTGTGCTTTGTGCTGCTTTGTTGCAAGAAAACTTTCTTCTGATTCAGATTCAGAAACAAGATCAATGGTACCTCCATCATATTTTTTCCATATCATGGGCTTTACATCCACATCACTTTCTGCAAAAGAAACATGAAAAACCACACAAGCCTTTGCCAAAAAAGTCCCAAAGAAAATAAAATTTAGAAAAATAATAAAATTAACCTGAATCAGAATCATGTCCTGAGGTGGAGTACTTTCCTTTCTTTGGCTTTGGAATTTTAAGCAGGTTACCATTCTTTGGCTTTGGAATTTCTTGCAGCTTACCTTTCTTTGGCTTTGGAATTTTTAGCAGATTACCATCTTCATCTGAAAATAAAAAGGTTTTATTTTGAAGAATTTAATAGTGACTTTAAGTAAGATAACCATAATACCTAAGATAATACCTGACTCTGAGTCTATTGCCTGTCTCCTTATGGGTATCTTACGTTTATTACCAATCGCAGTCAATCTGTTTGCCATAGCAGTCTTTGGACGGCCTTTGCTCTTCACTGAAGGCAGTGTCCCTGGACAGCAAAATATAAGTTAAGTTTCACAACAGACACAGAAATGATATTGACAACTATAAAAACAATTCACTTACATTTGCGAGTGGCTTGCCCAAAAACAGTCCTATCACAATCTTTTGGTTTCCCAGTAATTTTGAAAGTCTGAGGAAGCTTAATTACGGTGGGTGAAGCTATTTTCTTCATTGGATCGTCTTCCGAAATATTTCCTTCTAGTGTATTATCTTCATTAGTATTGTCTTCTGTTTCTTCTTGTGAATTATCTTCATTGGTATTGTCTTCTGAAATATTTTCTGCTCGTGTATTATCTTTATTAATATTGTCTTCTTGAACAGTTTTTCCCAGATTATTTGCTTGATCAATATCAGATGTCTCTAGATTTTCTTCTTGAGCAGTTTCAGTAGTTGTGTCTTCTTCCTCTCCTAAAGGTGCACCTACAGAGCAAAATGAAGAGAAAAATTAACAAAACTATTATTTTATAAGCATGGAACAGTCTTATGAAAACCGATTACAATACCTAATCTGTACACAGCAAGCTCCTGGCCATTTTTCCAGGAGGAAATTATTTCCTTCAGAAAAGCGACTCGCCTCTCATATTGTTCCGTTCCAGAGACAGACAGAAGTTCAGCTAATTCCCCTCCCAGCTTCATCCCACTCTTGAATTTGTCAGCTTTGCCTTTTGGCTTGAGTTTGGGAGGCATGGACACAACTAGCATCTTCCCATTCTCATTTTCCGGATTGACAGTCCCTGTTGTGACCGTGTTGTAACTTTTCAGCCATCTTTGGTGCACTAGCTTCTCATCAAAGCGTGACAAGCCTGATAAAGAAAGTCTCATTGATTATTCATGCAAGAGGGACAAAGGGCATATATTTTTGAATTAACCATTACCTGAACTAGCTCTAATCCGCATGATGTGTCTGCATGGGAGCAATAAACTTTTCGCAAAATAACAATTGCAGCTGGTCTCAGTTGTATCATAGATGATCTTAACTGCAGCTTTTTTTGCTTGCTCTAATTCTAACCTTATATATTTAGAGGCAAATTGGGTGCAAATGTCCAGGATATTTTGCACGTCAGGGTCATTGCAATTTACTACATAAGATTTCTTAGCACACATGAGGTACCTCCTATAAGCCATTGTGTTCTGTTTGTTTCGAAGGAAAGCACGAATTTGCACTATGGTCTCCTTCAGTTCAAAACTTCTATCTACAATCTGAAAAAGAAAAAAGAAAAAATTAAGAATAAATTTTGCTTTGACCAAAACAGCTGGACATGGACTAAACTAATGACACCGAACTTACCACCTTAATTTTCTGGTTCATGGACTCATTCCTATTAGTTGTGTCATTTCCAAAGTTAGGACTGTGGTGTTTTGATTTTCTAGTCCAAGCATTAGCACAGTGATGATAATATTTGTCAAAATAGTTCGTCATAAATTTAGATGATGCCACACATTTCAATTCTTTGTACAGCTCATTGTACTCTTCATCGTTCTTGCAATACACCATCTTTTGAAGTACTTCACGGACAGATTCCTTATTCTTTTCCTTTAAGGTATTGCGCTTGAATGAATTGGGAACGTGGAATGAACATAACTGTACATCAATATGAGGAAACGCTTCCTTCAGTGAGCTGATCTCACTCATATCATGATCAACGACAATGGTCTTAGTACGCTTGATGTCATCACCAACTGCATTTCCCAATAGCTTGAAAATTTCTGAGTAAGTTTCTTTGGTCTCGTTAATTATAAACGCATAGGCAATGCACTCAGAACCACCAAGGCCGTTCATGACATTGATCAGGAGCAGGGGCATCTTATTCTTATTCGTGTTATACGTTGAATCTGCTATAACAACCTCAGGAAACTTATTGAATGTTTCCTTTGATCCTTTGTGCATTATAAATATAAACTGTATCTCTCCTTCATCATCTGTCCCCACAGTGATGAAATCACCCTGATCTTCCAGAACTTTCAGATAATGCAGCAGATCTTCTACTTCAGTGCGTCCCTCTCTCTCTTGCTGTTTAAAAGCATGTCTGAAACAATCAAAGTAAGCAATTACAGCAATAACATTATAAGTAAAGTGTTTGTAAAGGAAACAATTTCTGTGTTATCAATTGCAGAGCCCTTAGTTAATTTGAATTAATTGAAAGTGTTTATAAAAGCAGAAGTTCAGACTCAAAACTCAGAAAAATTTCTGTTCTGTGAAGATTTACGAAGAACATTGTTGTTACAAAGTTAAAAGGAGCATGCAGCAATAACAAAGAAAATAGAAAGACAAATCTGTATTATTACCGTGCATTGACCAAGTCCTGCCCAACCAAATGTTTTCCAGTCTCTTCATGTATTTGTTGGAGAAGAATAGAGGGCTTCACCCTCAGTTTGATCAATTTTTTGGCATCGTCAAGCTCAAACTTATTCAAGCCTCTGACCTCAGGATAAAATGCAGTTATCTCCTTTTCAGTGATGTGGTTATGTTCGAGAGAAACAGAGGTGACAACAATTTTCTGTCTGTCCAAGTCTGCTTTGACTTCAATATGGGCTTTGCAATCCATTTTAAAAGTCCTAGAACAGATAAAGTAATGAACAGGGTTACCTTGCAAGTTGAGAAAGCAACACGGGAAACCATGACATGATACGTACTGTTGATTAGGCCGTTGACCAGTGCTTTTGGTGACATAGGTCCCATAGTTTTTGCATGCGATTAAAGCTGACTTGTATTTCAGACGTTCATCATACTTTTTCTTTTTCAAGCCCATATTAACAGTACTAACCAATTTGCTGTTCTTCACCACAAACACAGCATGGGACGATTGAGATAAGTTTTTGAGTGCCTCTTCAAACTGTTCCCATGAGTCATACGAATCCCCACGTTTAATTGGGGACTGAGATGGTTGCTGAAATAAGAAGAGCAAAGAACACGGTTTAAAAAGCTTAACTAAAGCCAAGATACGTAACGACCCTTAGGCCACTACCTAACCCAACTATAAGCCACAAAAATATTCTCATTCTGGCCGAATAACACTCAACCTACCACTTCGTCCACTGCATCATCTTCACCATCACTAATCACCTCCATTTCAAAGCTCACGAAATAATTCTTGACGACAAGTCTCAGCCAAAGCCAAAAACCTTTCACACCTTCTCACATCAACGAAATCTAGACTCCAGCGTCGCGTGTTCTTGTTGTTGGCTGCGTTTTCCCGCGCTACGCGATGGTAGTCCCAGCGAAGCGTCACAGAGGGCGCAGGCGGCGGAACGAACGTCGTCCGCCGCCAGCGCCCTCTGTGCCCGCGAATTATTCAACATTTGAAACATAGGACGCGCACATGAAATAACGCTAGTTTGCGTTGACAATTGGCTCAGTTATCATCGCCATGCATACTGATCAGGTCCGGACAATGTGACGAAGCACCGCTTACCGCTTCGAAGGCCGGGCACCTCGGGTGCTTGCAGCGGAGCGCGTTCGGCAGGGACCGTCCGGAGCCGCCTTGCAGGGTAGGCCACCCTCTGCGCGCCGGACGGGAAGGTTGCCTATCCTGCCTTTCGCAGGCGCTTCGCTTCCCTGCTGCCTCCCAGTCCAGCTTTGTCCAGTTCATAAAGGTAGGGAGTCATGCCAAGGAGTGCATTGTTCAGGACTCACGGAGCATCGAAGGCTAAAGCGTGCCAATAAGATTTACTGCAGAAAGAGACACGCAGCGTGCAAGTAAAGCACCAATTGCTTATAGACACACTGCGAAATCTTTCCAGCGCGTGTGCATAAGAAATCTTAATGTAAGCGACACGCAGCGTCTTCACAACCAACGATCTATTATTCATACGCAGCGTGTCCCTTGAATACTGAAAAATTATGTACACGCATCTTTTGAAAAAAATTCTCCAAGTTTTGAACCCGGGCCAAAAAAGTGGCATGCAGTCACGTATCCACTAGACCACGAGGCGACACACCCGGTCGGCTTCCCCCTAGGCATCTCTATCTCCTAGCTGGCATAAAAACGAGAGTGCAAATAATAAAATTGTAAGTTGCAAACACGCTGCGTTTATGTACGAAGGAAAAAGATTATAAGCACGCCCCAAAAATATTTGTTGCGTGTGTATAAGATTTACTAATGTAAAACGCACGCTGCGTTTCTTTAAGACGTCAAAAATTATAAGCACGCCGAAAAATATTTGTTGCGTGCACATAAGAATTACCTCAGTTACGGACAAACAGCGTGTTTGCAATGTGAAATTTATTATTTAAACGCAGCGTGTCCCTTGCATGTCACAAAATTATGTGCACGCAGCATTTGAAAAAAATTCTCCAAGTTTTGAACCCGGGCCAAAAAAGTGGCATGCAGTCACGTATCCACTAGACCACGAGGCGACACACCCGGTCGGCTTCCCCCTAGGCATCTCTATCTCCTAGCTGGCATAAAAACGAGAGTGCAAATAATAAAATTGTAAGTTGCAAACACGCTGCGTTTATGTACGAAGGAAAAAGATTATAAGCACGCCCCAAAAATATTTGTTGCGTGTGTATAAGATTTACTAATGTAAAACGCACGCTGCGTTTCTTTAAGACGTCAAAAATTATAAGCACGCCGAAAAATATTTGTTGCGTGCACATAAGAATTACCTCAGTTACGGACAAACAGCGTGTTTGCAATGTGAAATTTATTATTTAAACGCAGCGTGTCCCTTGCATGTCACAAAATTATGTGCACGCAGCATTTGAAAAAAATTCTCCAAGTTTTGAACCCGGGCCAAAAAAGTGGCATGCAGGCACGTATCCACTAGACCACGAGGCGACACACCCAGTCGGCTTCCCCCTAGGCATCTCTATCTCCGAGCTGGCCTCAAAACGAGAGTGCAAATAATAAAATAGGGAGTTGCAAACACGCTGCGTAAAAATAACACCCGCCTTTATTATAGACACGCCGGAAAAGCTTTTCCGGCGTGTAAATAATTTAAGGGGAGGTTCTGGTGAAAATGCTATTTTCTCCAAATTGAGTCCCACTATGAAAATTAGTTAAAAATTTGATGTCTTACCAAGTAATTATTAAAATTTTTCATTGGGGAGGCACATCTTATGCCCTGAACCCAGTCGAAGAGTCTTTTTGAGCCTATTTTGGCTGTATCTTAAAAAATCTCCTTGCGCATACTATTTTGTCGTAAAAGCTTGGCCTTGACATTTTTCACTTCTTCGATTCATTTTTAAAAGATGCCGGCATGCACAACTCAAAATGTAAATTATATTTTTATTCGCAAGCTTTCTAGCCAAGCATTTCACTATAATTGGTCAAAAATGTACAAAATAGTCAAATTTTAGGGACTTTTCAGCTTTAAAAAGCTTACAATTAATACTGTAATGGCCATTTTGAGTTGTGCATGCCGGCATCTTTTAAAAATGAATCGAAGAAGTGAAAAATGTAAAGGTCAACCTTTTACGACAAAATAGTATGCGCAAGGAGATTTTTTAAGATACAGCCAAAATAGGCTCAAAAAGACTCTTTGACTGGGTTCAGAGCCTGGGATGTGCTTTCAAAAATCTAATTTTAGTGTCCTCATAGAAAGATTTTATATTCCGAACGAATTATGACAGTCGGATCCATTTGGAAAATGGCAAGATTTTCACCAGAACCTCCCCTTAAAGGGGCTTGCAGACACGCTGCGTGCAAAAAACTGCTGTTTTTATTATATACACGCTGGAAAAGCTTTTCCTGCGTGTATATAATGAAAACGGCGTTATTTGCACGCCGCGTGTATTTAAGTTGCTTTTTATTATATAAACGCTGCGTGTCTATAATCACTTCCATAAGATAAGGCCCGTCTTATCGGAGAGTCTGATCGCAGCGAGCACTGAACGGCCGGCCACGCGGCCAGTCGCGGCGCGATGCGCGGACACACTGTCAAACCACGTGGGGAACACTCCCACACTTCCTGGGTCATGCTCCTCACTTAGGCGTGTGGAGTTTGCAGTCTCCGCACTTCAAGTGTGCGGTAGTGATCACCGAGCCCCTGTCTCTTGCCACGGTGCAAACGAGGGGGAGGCCACACTTGAAGTGCACTGTAAATTCCTTACGGTGAAAGGCTGCACCCCTATATTCACTGTAAAAAAAATTCTGAAATTTCAGTACAATTTGTTCAGACTTTGCAGTCTGAATCGGTAATTCAGAAAATTGCTTTGAATTTTCAGACTAGGAACTCTGAAATTTGAGATCACACCGGTTAGTCTGAATTTTAAGCAAAAGGTCTGAAAATTCTGATAGTTTTCAGACTTGTCATCCTGAAACCTGTTTTCATAATTTTGGTATGAAAATTTTGACAGATTGTCTACTAATCAAGTCTAGGCGTAAGGCGTTGTATCAATTTATCGGAAATAATAATGTACACCCGCGCTTCACGCAGATTTGTCTGTGTACGGTAGATTAACCGTAAGAGTTGTCCGAACTTGCACTCTGGACTTGCCGAAAGGAGCTGGTATCTTCTGAAGAGAGTCACGCGGCACGGCTTCCCCCGCCGCCAGGCAGCGCCCGTAGCGCAGTGGTACCGAGCTCGTCTCGTAACCAAAAAGTCCCGGTTCGAACCCGGGCCGAAGCGAACAAGTGTAAAGTGGAAAGAAGGTACCGTCACACGTTGGTGATTCAAATTGTTCTCTTTTTGATTTCTCTCTCTTTGATTTATAGATGGCACTTTTATTTAATATTTCAGAGTAGCAGTCTGAAAATGTTGTTCAGACAAGTAGTCTAAATTTGGAATTCAGACAGAATGGTCTGAATAATTACTCTGAATTTTCAGACCACTAGTCTGTTTAAAAACTTCAGACTAAAATTATGAAATTTCAGTAATATTTTTTTTACAGTGTTATTATGGAGATTTGCACCGTAATACAAACGAAATTCGTCAAAATATCTATAAGGTACAGTGAATTCTCAATGGTATGCATGTTATAAAGTCATCTGCACCAGCACAACATAGAACACTTTCGCCACAATATAGAGAATCTTCACTATACAACATTTAGAGTGTGCGAAAACTGCAAATTCTGCACTCCCAGGTGCGGAGACCGAAAATTCCGCACCTCCGCATTTCCAGTATCGTGCTCTCCACACTAGGTTTCACAGTGGAGGCGCGGCGCGGCGCGGCAAGTGGCGGTCGGAAAGTGCCGCCGCAAGTCGACAGTGACGCGGGGTATCGACGCCACTCCACGACACACCTGCCCGTCTCAATCTGCCGCGAATAAATCACCGCGGCGACACGGCGGCCGGGCAGGCAAGGGGTATCGCCACACCGACAGTGAGCCGCGCCACGCGCCGAGCGCCAAGCGAGAGAGGAGACAAAACGACGCGTGTCACTCACGGTCACGGTGTCACTCGCGTGCCGACGGCGGCAGCCCGCCCAGCGGTATCCCTGCAGCAGACTGATTCCGAGAGTTGTTTCCGTCGCTCTGTCTCTCTCGCACCTGCGCGGCACGCCGCTTGAGTGTGAGAGAGACAGAGCGACGGAAACGACTCTCGGAATCAGTCAGCTGCTCTCAAAATTTTCATTTGTAAATCCAAAGGCTGCGACTCGGCGGTGCGGCGCTGGCCGAGAGGCAGCACCACGACCAGCGCACTGGCGGCGGCAAGCTTCTCTTAGAGTGAGGGGCCGGCCGCACAGTGGGCCAGAAGGCCGGTGGAGGCGGACACAACTCTAGACGCGTTTTGAGCTCCAGAGTCGCTAAACAGGCCTCGAATCGAACGTGTGACCCCTCCAATGGATTCCTCGTTCGGAGAGCGATTCATTGGTGGGGTCACACGTTCGTTTCGAGTCCCATTTAGCGACTCTGGAGCTCAAAACGCATCAAGAGTTATGTCCACCTCCACTGGGTTTCTAGCCCACTGTGGGCCGACTGGCTGGCCTCAGCGCACTGGGCTGGCCTAGTGGCTGTCCTAGGGGTGGGCGGGCCAATTGCCGAGCCAGGCGGGGCTGACTCCAACAGTCGCTTTCGTCGCTCTGTCTCTCTCACACCTTCAGGGGACGGACCAAGAAAGTCAGAGAGACAGAGCGACGAGAGTGACTCTCAGAACCAGTCTGCAGGCGGTGGTCGCAGCGCCAGCGGCACCGGCGGCCCTAAGGCACCACCAGCGCCCCACACCGTCAGTCTTACGACAGCCGAATTTCCCTGGCAAAAAGGCGCATATTAAATTTAATAAATAATTAATTTGTAATTAATTATTTTTTTATAAGAGTTGACTTTAATTAAATTTTGTTAAATGCTAATTAAATCTTGTTAGTGGCCAAGAATAGAGCTATCTATGAACACGAATAGACTAATTAATAGGTCAGGCTGAAATGAAATTTAATTATTTTTAATATGTGAATAATAAGTTTTAATTATATTTAATTAAATTTATAAGCGCTAATTAGAGCTTTATTAAGCTGTAGTTTAATTAAAACACATATGATTTAATTAAATCCCTACCCACGCTAACGAAAATGTTGCATACCAGTAAGTCAGTCAGTGTTGAGATCTGCTATTTGAGCGTGAGACGGCATTCTCCATGGCCGTCCAACTCTCCAACACTTGTGTGTCTGAGGCAAGTCTAAAAATCACATCACACTTCCTTGAGCGCGATGGAGGAGAGTGAATAGCCTGCGCGACTAGTGCATGTGGCGATGTGAGTCAACACCGCGAGCTAAGGGACTAAAGTAGACCTCAGCGCCATCTAGCGGCGGACAGACTTTTATTAAACTTAATTAAATCTTGCAGGGGATAACACCAAGTTCCTTAACATATGGCAACACCACTTACTCGAGAGAGGATTTAACGACGAATATGACTCGACACTCTTGTTTGTCACCGGACTTTTCAAAGAAACCTTTGGCGAAATCACACTTAACATTAACTACATAAAGTCTTTATTAAAAATGATAATAAAAGCTAATAAATGTTTATTAAACCCTCTTTGTTAACAAGTTTTAATCAACATTTAAAACCTTTTATAAACGGTACTTGTTAAAATTAATTAAAGTCAATAAGCACCCGTGATAAAATTAATTAAAACACAGCCCCTAATAAAAAATTAATTAAGAATTTATCAAAATTTATTAAATGTTAATAAAAGTTTTTTACGAGGGTTCGGCTGCCGAAAAATAGCCGCGGTCCATCTGGTGGGCCTGCCTTTGCCTCCGTCTCTGTTTGCGGCGCGGTGGTCGCGCGGGTAGTCGGCACTTCAGCACGCCGCGCCCAGCGCCACCAGCAGACAGCGATTCCCAGAGTCGATTCCGTCGCTCTGTCTCTCTCGCACTCATGCGGCCTTCCACATAGACGCGAGAGAGACAGAGCGACGAAAACGGCTCTCGGAGTCAGGCTGCAGCAGGCTCGTTCCAAACTGCGCCCTGTCTCTCTCGAACCCTTCCGCGACGCCCCACGAGTGCGAGCGAGCGAGACGGCGCGCCACGCTCCAACGCCTCGGCGCCGCAAACACACCAGCAGACCAGCAGACCAACAGGCGCGCAGAGGTGACCGCCGGCCGAGCCTCGCGCCGTGCCGCACGGAGTCCAGAGTGCACTGTGAAACCAAGTGAGGAGAACTCTGCTCTCGAAAGTGAGGTTGTTGAGTTTTCATTCTCCGTACTTGGAGGAATAGAGTTACGCAGAGGTCTAGCACCTCGGCGTCCAGGTCTAGCGCCTCGGCGTGCAGGTCTAGCACCTCGGCGTCCACGTCTAGCACCTCGGCGTCCAGGTCTAGCACCTCGGCGTCCAGGTCTGGCACCTCGGCGTCCACGTCTAGCACCTCGGCGTCCAGGTCTAGCACCTCGGCGTCCACGTCTAGCACCTCGGCGTCCACGTCTAGCACCTCGGCGTCCACGTCTAGCACCTCGGCGTCCAGGTCTAGCACCTCGACGTCCACGTCTAGCACCTCGGCGTCCAGGTCTGGCACCTCGGCGTCCACGTCTAGCACCTCGGCGTCCACGTCCATGACCATGACCAGGGCACCGTGCCACTACCAGTGCGGCAACGCTATCCGTGGGCGCGCGGCGGGGGGTCGACAACCGCCTAGAGGCACCCTGCCTTGCCTAGCCCCCCCCCCCCCCCCCAACCTCCCCCTCCTCCACCA